CTGGGTTTTGATTAGGCTGTTTCAAGACATTTACTATAAATGTTTCCTTTTAAACCACTCCAATCTACCTTTAACAGTATGTTTATAGTCATTGTCCTGCTGCAAGATGAACCTCTGTCTCAGTCTAAAATCTATGGCAGGCTGAAAAAGGTTTTCTTAAGATTTTCCCTGTATTTAGTGCCATCAATCTCCTCAGAACTCAGGGTATCCAAATGACTGGCTAGTCTTGTCCATTCTTTTCCAAAAACCCTGGGCTTCACTCTCCCTTGTCAAAATCTTTTATTTAAAGTGTATCTCATAGCAGGCCTGCATTTCAGCGCCTTGTGCTTCTTTGGGACCTCAGTCTGGTTCTGTCTGCCTTGCAGAAACCACATTTGAAGCAGCAAGGGAAATCTCCACAGATGATCTCTCCTACAAAGTAGTCTTCTTGGTTGCTATCATGTCTGTCAGATGTAGCCGAGCTAGCAGCTATCTTGTAAGGAGCCATTCTTCATTCTTTACAAGTACAAGGTAGTCTTATGCCCAGGGTCATCCTTTCTTCCCAAGATGGTATCAGTCTTCCACCTTAATGAAGATATAGTCCTTCCCTCTTTGTGCCGTACTCCAAATCAGAATGAAACTTGCTCTTTATTGCCTGGATGTAGTGAAAGCTATCAGTCTGCCTCAAAGGAACAAGAGTGTTTCCTGGTTATTTCAACATCAAGCCTCTGTTGCCTAGCTTTGAAAGGACACCACCTGATTCTTTGTTCATACCTTTAGCAAGTTCTACAAGGTGGATGTTCAATCTCCTGTGAATGTTGCCTTTGCAAGTTTTTTTTACAGCTGCCCTCTGTAATTGGGTCTATTGGTTTTTGTTGTTTTTGGGCTCATTCACACAGTTTGTCTAGTTTCCTACCCTACTCAATCATTGCTTGGGGAGAGGTCTCAGTGTCTATGAATATTCAACCTGTGTCCTGTACTCTACAAGTAATATAAAGGAATTTTGAGACATCTGTAAATTCCACATCTTGGAGTACATTTCATGACCCCCTCCCTTTTATTCTTGTGTTACACTGTATTGCTTGCTACAAACATTTTGGCTTGCCTGAGTCCACCTACCTGAAAGCACCTGCCTATAATCTATAGGGTCTATGAGTATTCAGCCTGTGTCCTGCACGGATGACAGCGGATCTCTACAGTAATGGGTAATACAGTTTTTTAGTAAAGTAGTGAGAGGATGAAACCATGGTAAATTTTTTTTGTCTGTGTCCCTTTGGTCCCTGTTCCCCTAATTTCTTGAGCTCATGTCACAGTGATAACGTATGGGTGATTCTGAACCCCAGTAGAGTCACAGACTGCAATGAAAACCCTATGGGACAGTTCTTCTTTCTGTTCAAAACCACAAAACAAGTTTTGACTGCAGTTAGGCACTAAGGGGTCTATTTGCGCAAAACTGCGGAGCGCAAAATCTGGTGCAGCTTTGCATAGAAACCAATCAACTTCCAGTTTTTTTTTTTGTTTTTTTTTTTTAAATTGAACAAGCTGCAGTTAGAAGCTGATTGGGTACCATGCACAGCTGCACTAAATTCTGAGTGCACCAGTTTTAGTAAATCAATCCCTCAGTGTCAAGGTTGTTGGCAAGGTATTGGGTATTGATTCATGAAACATATTGTAGTGTTAAGCCCTAAAGCAGGTTATTTGCCATTTATTCTCTTAAACTACAAGGCAACACTATAGAATACAAGTACGTTGGAGCCTGGACTATTCAGGGAAATGCACTAAACATGTGGGAATTGTATGGGAATTGCATTTTTGTCCAGCCAAGGAGTAACTTAGGCTTCATTCACATGGGATTTTAGTGCCATCTGCACCAGTAATACAGCATGTCCCTGCAGCTAGATTCATAGTTGGGTGCTGATAGTTCCAGCCGCTCAGCTTGTGCCAAGCAATGACAGGCTGACAGCAGCCATGCATGTTGATATGTATTCGCACATGGAATGATTACCTGAGGTTAGGGATAAAAGATCATCCCTGGATGAAAGCAGCTTGTGCCCTGGGCGATCATCTGTCCCTAATATAGCAGGTAATCGCTGCGTGAAGTCTTATTCTTTCACCTACAACTGTAGACTACATCATAATATATTTTTCTCCATCACCTAATATGAATTGGAATTCTCACTCCCACGTTTGCAAAAATGGCCGCTCATCTTCACCTCTTACAAGATCAAAATACGCAAACTTTTTATTACAATGTAGAAAACAAATACCAGAGCTAGTAGCATTTCCTGTTTTCACTCCTTTTAATTGTTTGTGGAGATCCAGTCAGTTGAGAAATTGGTACATTTTGAATATTTTTTTTTGTTTGTTTCCAGTGCCCAGTTCTACTCACAATGGCTTTGATGGTGCATTACAGAGGTCACTCAGGCCTGCATATGAAGAGAGAGTCTGCTTTGTAGCAACTGTAAGATTAGCTACACCTCAATTCATTAAGGTAAATCTGTGTATTGTTTTAATGATTGGCAATAACATTCCAGCATGGCTTTATAGACTTTAGAAGGTTATAGTTGTGGAAAAGATTTAAAGCAGAACTGACACGTCTTTTAAATTCAAACCCTCGGAAACACCAAGTTAAAAATTTTGCATGTGTTGATATCTGCTGCCTTTTGTAGTCTCTGTATTTCATATGTTGATGAATGTTGATGAATGTTCACAATACATACATTGTATCCATATGCCACCTTGTCTAGTTTATTTTTAAGCAATTAATAGGAGGTTCTAGCGTCTAAGGGAAGTGATGTAATCGTCCCCTAACAGGAAGTTCTCCCTTTTTTTTCTTTGGCAGGATCAGCAGTAAGCCAAAAAGTCAGAGCATGTCAGACCCTGCATGTTGTTGGCACAGCAGCTTGTTAGACCTCCTTGAAAAGCCACAAGACAGATTTTTCTTCCTCAATGCGTTTAGGCTTCATAGAATTTCCCAGATTGTGTCATTATATAAAGCTTTACTGTATGTCAGCCTTTGGCCTTGTTTACTTGGCCATTTAGGGCCATAGTGTGGCAAAAACAGGAGCTGCCACTGTTCTCATTTACCACTTATCCAGTGGTTACATAATATTTGGGACAGCTAAGCTTCTCTGACCCTAATTGCATGTAACTGCTTGATGTGCAGTTACATGAGAACAGCCACAGTGCCTGTTGACCTGTCATTGATTTGTACAGACTGATGGTGGCAGCTGATCACGAACACCCTCCCTGCTGCGGATTTACACTGCTTCTTGCCACACTATCTCTGTACTCAATCGCGCAAATGAGTCTTTTGGGTGTTCATGCCAGCTTCTGTTTGTGCCACTTTTGTATGTGGCTTCCATACATTTAGATGAGAAACAAAAGTTTTTAAACATTAGAAAAGAGCCAAGACCCATGTGCTGACCCTTTGCCAGTGGTTGTGATTTGGCTGTAGTCATAGCAATAAATACTACTTATAGTAGTTTCCAGTAACATATATTATTATTACATCGAGTTTATATAGCGCCAAAGGGTTTGCTCAGCGCTGTACAATAGGGGGGGGGACAATACATGGCACAGTACAACAATAACAAACAACGTACGAGGGGTAAGAGGGCCCTACTCTTTCGAGCTTACAATCTAGGAGGGAGGGGGTAATGGTACAGTAGGAAGTGGCTGAGGGGTTTACAGGTACAGGGGTTTGACAAAATTATGGAAACACCATGTAAGAGAACGAAATGGATACCTAATATGATGGTGGACTGCCTTTGGCATCCAAGACAGCCTGAATTCTACTGGGAATTGACAAATAGAAGTCTTGGATAATGGATAATCTGATACCACTGTTCGTGCAAAAAAAAATCATTCCAGTTCACGTAGAGATGTCAGAGGCGTGAAACTAGCCTGAACCTTGTTCTCCAAAATTGACCGTAGTGGCTCAATGATATTGTGGTCCGGTGACTGCAGCACCCAGGGAAAGTGCAAGACTTCATCTGCATGCTCGTCAAGCCACAATTTGACAACACCAGCTATGTGAATCATAGCATTATCGTCTTGGTGAATGGTGCTGTCTTCAGGAAACCATGTCTGCACCATGGGGTGCAGATGGTCGGCCAAAGGTTGTACATAGTCACGGGCAGTGACTTTACCTTTTCAAGGTGATGATGAGGCCTGCAGTATATCAAGATATGGCTGCCCAAACCATGATTGCGCCTCCACCATGCTTAACCCTGGGCACAAGACAGCCCTGGTCATGAGCTTGAGACAGTGTTTGCCACATGTAAATATGTTCGATGGTTGGGAACAGTGTGAAGCTCGATTCATCAGACCATGTGAGAGTCTTCCGTTGATCGATAGTTCATGATTTATGGATGTTGCACCACTCTCCCCTCTCCTGAGCATTAATATCTGTCACTTGTGGATTGGCAATTGCAACTCACCCATGAATGTTTTGTTTATGGAGTTCCCTCTGCACAGTTTTTGTGGATGTGGTCTTTGGAAAACTGAGATTGAGCTCTGCAGTCACTTAGCAGCAGCAGTTTTCCTATTCCGGCTCACAATCCTGCGCAGTCTCCTATTGTCTCTTTCGGTCAGTTGACCGTGTTTATGCTTATTAGACAGTTTTCCCAGAAACTGTGTCATAACCTTTTGATACTGTACCTCGCGGCACTATAAACAAATTGGCAACTTCAGGCACAGAGGCACCAGCTAAGTGGGCACCAACAATCTGCCCTCTTTGAAGCTCAGTAAGCTTTGACATGACTCCGTATTACTAGCAGTGAACTCAGCGATTGAGGAAAGTGAGACTTCCCACCTAGGTGTTTCATCACACAACAGAAGCTAAAGAATGTTACATCACTTCAGCTTTCACTGCAAAACATGTTTTCTGTTTCACACCTGCATTTTTGTCTAATCCCTGTATATGCTTGTTGTTTTACAAATTCGTTGAGCTGTTTGTAATCCACCAGGAAATGTGCACTGTGGAGGAGCCTAATGAGGAGTTTACATCCAGACACAGCCTAGAATGGAAGTTCCTCTTCTTGGACCACAGGTCAGTGGAGATGTTCTTTTTGTGTTTGGTACACAATAACAATTCCTTTTAATGTTACTTCCAGCTAGGAAGAGAAGAGGCTCTTGACCTGCCTTGTGTGTGTGTGAGCGTTAGGGGGATGAGAGCCTACATATTCCATTAACAAGATGTGATCTGCAGCTCTAAGTTGGTTCTGTTACCTTTTCAAAGTGTAAAACGTCATGGTCATTGAGTATAAAGTGTACATCTTACACTGGTGTGAGTGATTTTATGTGCTTTTGTAGCTTTTCTTGATGTGGTTTTTTATGTGATTGTGGTTTTATATGTTCCTACATGAGTGTTATATTTGAAAAGTTTTCAAGGGTGTGTGTTGTAGAGTATAGCAGCAGTGAACAGGCATATGTTTACTACTTACTGTGAAGATGATCTATTCAGTATTTCTACATCCTGCTTCATTAGTGAAATATAAATGAGACAATTGACCATACCTAATGTCACTCAGCTTTCAGAAGGAGCATCATCCGTAGAGTTATATTGTAGACTTTCATGTTCATGTATTCAAGAACACTGATGATATTGGATTGAATATCTTCTAATTTATTATCTCTATTTGTTTTTAGGGCTCCTCCTATAATAGGATATCTACCTTTTGAAGTGCTCGGTACTTCTGGATATGATTATTATCATGTGGATGATCTGGAGAATCTTGCAAAATGCCATGAACATTGTAGGTGGATTTTTTACAGTGACATATCTGATTAGAATCCGTTTTGATTGTAGGAAATACAGATGTATTCATACATCAATAAGAACAATGCAGATGCGTGAATAATATATATCCCGTTGGTAGATGGCGACGTGTTTCGCAGTCTTGAACTGCTTCATCAAAGGCACTGCTGGGATGCCACACAACATCTAATATAGATTTTCATAACCACTAGCCTCTAAGGAGATGCCATAAGATCTGCATCCCCATCCCCCTGACCAAGTCATGAGGGGGGTTTTATGCCCAGAGGGGACTGCCTATAAGAGCCAAGTTTTTTCTGCTTAGTGTTCTACTCCTGTAGGTGGGGCTATAAAACCCTATTTGGTCATGGATAAAGAAGAAGCTGCTGTGTCCGTCGATGAACTCGGAGAAAGGGATTTTACAAAAAAAAAAAAATCCCAATTTTATTTAACTGTGATACTGTTTTCAATACGGTGCCTTAAAATTCCCTTTATTTTTGGAGGTGATACCTCAAATGTCATGCTTGTATTATTTTGGATGTGGCACCATACGCCTATTCCCTGAGATGTGGTAATCCTGTTCACATTTTGTAGGAAATACAGGGAAAACATGTACCCTGTGCAGATTGTTTGTTGTAGGACTCCTTGAGCAAGAAGTGTGTGCAAACAAAATACTACAAAACCTTACTAGGTTCATGAACACAGTCCCTTAGGAAAAGGCATTTGACAATTGACACCCGTCGATTTTTATAGAAGCAGTTTAATGAGTGCATAGTTTAAGACCGCACATATAAAATTTGCCATGTGATCCTTATTTATTAGCCTGGAGCAAAGAACAAGGGGGTGAAGTAAACCACATTTCTGGGAAATGTAGGTGACTAGGTCCTTCTGAATGTAAGACATGGTAATGCAAATGCTGTATTGTTTTTTTGTTTTCTTGTAGTGATGCAGTATGGAAAAGGCAAGTCTTGTTACTATCGTTTCCTTACAAAAGGGCAGCAATGGATATGGCTGCAGACGCGGTACTATATCACCTATCATCAGTGGAATTCTAGGCCAGAGTTCATTGTTTGTACGCACACTGTAGTAAGGTAAATGAATTGGTTCATTTTATGTTCACAAACTTGGTCTATGCAAGCTGAATTTAAAAATGAGTCAGATAAGTGCTGTGTGTCTGGGCTCGGCAGTGCCATCTGGAGCGCACTGTAATAACTACTGTTTTCATACATGCAATTTGTTTTCTGTCAGACTACTGCAGTTTTGTTTTTTGTTTTTTTCTTTAGTCAAGTTCTTGTCCATACATGTGAAATATGTTTCTATTTGTCTATGTGACAGGAGTACCTAACTCACCAGGTGTTTGTGCAGAGTTTTATCTGGATCATACAATAGAGCATGCAGGACATGTATTAATAGACCATGGTTTGTATGCAGCCACCTTCAGGCAAAAAAACTTTCTAGGGCTGCCCCTAGAGCACACCCATATAACCCCACCAACTCTGTGAGACTTTTTCCAAGTGTCCACAGTGACACTAAAGCTTCGTTTTTTGTTTTTTTTTTTTAAATAACAAACATGTGCATACTTGCCTGCTCTGTGCCTGCCAGTCCTTGGGGTCCTCCACCGTCGGGCAGAGCCCCCAGGGAAAGCCACTCGCGCTGGGGGCACTGCTCAGTGTTCATCCCCAAGCTGCTTCTCAATGCGTCTATAAGACACATAGTGCCGTGGCTTGGCCCTGCCCCTCTCCCGCTATCTCCTCATTGGCTCACTAGCTGTGATTTACAGTAGCAGGAGACAATGGACGCCCACTACTGTCTCAACTAATGAAGAAGAATAGTCCCCAGACAGCAGAGGCTGTCGAATGTCAGTGGATTGGAGGTGGCTTAGGTAATGATTTGTGGGGGCTTGGGGTGCCGCTGCACACAGAAGATTTTTTTTATCCTTCTCCACTGGAGATCCCCTCACTTAGCAATTCGTGATTACAGACGCAAGGAAGATCAGACAAAGTTTCACAATATCATGCTTTCTGCAGAGAGTCAGCAAGAAACATAAACCATCATTTAGAGGAAAAGCCTAGGGCAGTGTCCTATTATGACACTGCTCCCATTTTCTGACTCTGGCTCCCTCTCAGGCATGCACCATATGGCTTTTTTTTTTTTTTTACAAAAGCAGATTTCTCTGCTATTATGTCTGAATTCCTTGGAAAAATCCCAGCATTTCTAGAACCTTTTATTTAATTTTGTATCAGAGGGTGCAGAGGATTATCCTTTCCCTGCATGGTATGCGGTGTAAGCTGCAGCTTCATGGCAAATGCTTTCTACTGTAGACACACTAAGTGACACAATGTGCACTAGTCTTTGCCTAGCAGCACCTGATTCTCCACAGCCTAAACAAGCCCTTACGGGCAATAAAGGACTGACTACTTCAAGAGAAACACTCCCTCTCCCCCCCCCCCCCCCCCGTGTCTCTCTCTCTCTCTCTCTCTCTCTCTCTCTCTCTCTCGATCTCTCGATCTCTCGATCTCTCGATCTCTCGATCTCTCTCTCGATCTCGACTCAATCCTGAAATAATTTTTGCTGAAATTTATCCCATGGTTACAGTTCCTATTGAGAGTGTTCCCTCTTTTAAAGATTCTATTGATAGGTGCCAGGAAGCCCTTTGGAAGGCCTTATTTGCCCTTGTAAGTCCTACCTCACAGCTAGCTATTAAGTTTATTTTCCAGACTGTTGCTAACTGGGCACTACATATGAGAAAATTAGCCTGTCTTTGAGGACCCTGCTCTCTTAGCAGAAATATACCTGATGCCCTCAATTTTGTTGTTTTGTGTTGAAACTCTAGAGAATGTAATTCGCCAAGTCTCTAGAATGTCCCTTATCTCCAAGCGTAGGCACAGGATTTTGTATCTGAAAGCTTGGTCTGCAGAACCTGCTTTTAAAAAAGCGTCTTCTACATATGCCTTTTTGATGGTGAAGGCCTATTTGGAAATCTCTTAATATATTCATCAAGGAAGTCAATGGGGGGGGGGGTGCTTAAACCCCACAAGAAGAAGCCTATGTTTCCTATTCTTCTGGCTACGACTTCTTAACAAATGAGTTCCTTTCAATCTCCGCAAGCGTTTCCTTCCAAACTAAGGCATCTCCTGTTGTCGCAACCCCCAAACTTCCAAACCCAGCTTTCTAAGGGGTACCAAAAAAAGAGTTTCTGCTCCTCACTTTTTTTCCTTACAGTATTCCAGCTTCAGATCAAAGAATGTCTGTTTAAATGACCACCTTGTACCTGCTGCAGGCACAAGGAACAGTCATACCAGTTCGTTCAGAAGAATGGTTTCAAGGTTTCTAGTCAAACTTCTTCACCGTCCAAAAATCAAATGGAGGCAGCTGCCTAATACTAGACTTAAAATAACAAAACAGATTTTTTGTGTGCCTACTTCTTTCTAAGTAGGAGAATTTATGTCATTAATAGACAAACAAAATGCCTATCTACATATCCCCATCTTCCCTTCACATCAATGCTTTCTATGCTTTGCTGTCGCAGACCAATACTTGCAATTGTTGCACTCACATTCGTGCTCTCCTCTGCTTGCACGAGTGTTAGCTTAAGTACCTGCCCTGCTTCTGATTCTCCTACAAACAGGGATTTCACGTCACTGGTTACCTAGATGACCTCCTACTGAGGGACTTCTCATCCACAACTTTGGTCACCAATGCTTAGAGGATGATTCAGTTTCTTTGGATAATCAATCTTACAAAGTCTGACCTTCAACACTCACACCACCTGGAGTACCCGGCTCTAATCTAAGACACCGCTGAAGCTGGAATTTTCCTTCCCTAAAAAAAGGGTTTGCTTCTCTAAGGTCTCACATGAGGACCCTCGGGTCCAAGCAGCACCCCTCTGTTTGCTTCTACTTGAGGGTTCTGAGCTTGATATTGGCCCCCTTTGCCCAGTTTCAATCCAGACCTCTGCAACAAACAAATCAAATATTTTGATTGCCCAATGCTTCTGTCCAACCAGACAAAGCTCCCCATGACATGAAGGATCTGCATTCTTGCCCTGGAGTTGGGAAAGTCTTTCCTTCACATGCCCTAGAAGATAGTAACATCAGATGCCAGCCTTAGAGAATGGGGTGGATTTTACAATTTCCTGACTGTCCTGGGGGGGGGATGGGGACCTGCTCCCCACAAGAGTTTAAACTCATCCCATTAACAATTGGAACCTGAGAGCCATCAGATTTTCTCTACAACTCTGGACCTCTCTTTTGCAAGGTCACTCCCCAGTAAGAGTACTGTTGGACATTGCCACAGCAGTAGTCCACATTAAGGGTCACCAAAGCAGGCTGCCCTTAAAGATAAAAAAAAATTGATACTCTCCTAAACAGAAACCTCACATTACAGCAATTGACAGGCAGAATTCAAAAGTTGTCAATGTCTAAACCTGTAGGAGTAGTCTCTGCACTGTTATCTGGGGAAAAACAGATGTGACCGCCTTGGCTTCTAGGTTCAACAACAAGCAAGGACCCTCTGGCCCTCAATGTGGATGCTTTGGTGATTCCTTTGACTCAATTCAAGCTGGTTTATGCCTCGCCTCCTTTAAAATCCTCCTTTGACTCCTGCACAGGATGGAGGAAAATGGTTCTTATGATTATCTTCACACCAAACTGGCATAGAGACATGTAGTACACAGACATGCTGAGGAATCTGGCAAACAAGCCTTGGTCTCTTTCAAACGGACCGGACCTGTGGGCCCAAAGCTCACTATTCCATCTTGATTTGCTGTACTTCAGAGACCCCTTTTTGGATAAATTAGAGCTATTCTGTTGTACTACCTTAACTGTAGGTTTGCCTTTCTGGTAGCCATTAGACCTTTGGGCGTATTTCTGTATTAGCAGCTCTTTCCTGCTGTAAGTAACGTTTTCTTGTTTTGCACATATCAAAATGGTTTTGAGACCAACCTACCCCCTGGTGGTTTCTTCTTTACACCTCAGTGAGGACATTCATTTTCCCTTCCCTCTGTCCTGCCCCTCCTCAAAACATGACAATGAATCTGTTCTACGTTGCCTGAATGTGCTCAGGGCTGTCAGAGTCTATCTGAAAGCTACAGCCTACATTAGTAAGACTGAGTCCTTCTTTGTTCCGCCCATGGGCGATGGATCCAGCAACTTATTTCCAGGGCATACTCCCTTAAGGAAAGGGTTTCTCCTTTCCTTTTTGGAGCCCATTTCGCTAGAGATGTTGGTGCCTCTTGGGCTTTTCATCATCAAGCATTTGCTTCCCAGATTTGCAAGGCTACCGCCTGGTCTGCTGTTTACATGTTCTCCATGTTTTACCAGGTGGATGCTTAGGTTTAAGCTGCTGTTTGTGTTGTTTAAAGTGTTACTAAACCCACAACAGTAAAATCAGTCTGTATATGCAGTAAAGCATGCTTGGTATACTCACTGTGGAACCTAAGGGGGTTAATCCTCTGCATTGTGTAAAACAGTTGTTTGATCCTTTCTTCTCTGCCCCTCTTGTTGTTGAAATGACCACCTGATACAGACTTAATCCGTGATCACATGCACATGCTCAGTTTGGTGTGTATTGCTAGAGAGGTTTTTTTTTTTTTGTTTTTGTTTTTTTTTGAGAGAGTGCATGTGATTAGCACAGGGTCAATCAGCACTGTCCAGACAGAGGGTCAGGGGTTTCACATCCTCCTAGAACAGAAAGAAAACTCTTCTTATAAGCTTTAACCAGTGCTCTGCTGAAGTCACAAGACTGCTCTAACTGCTGATGAGAAAAGTTATTTAGCAGTTTATATTTACTAAAATAATTGCATTACCATGTTGTGTGTACTGTGGGAGACCAGATATAGGGAATGCAGGGTCCGGGTTTAGTAACACTTTAATGCTTGTTTCTTGTCAGCCTGTTGGCATTTTGTTTTGCTGTGTTGTTACTATTTTTTTTTTTTTTTAACTTGGTTACGTCCCATGGTCTATGAAAGTCCGAAGAAGTCCTGTACTGTAAGCTAAGAGGAGTTTTGACTTACATGTAAATTTATCTTGGCGTACAGTTTTTATTATTAGTTTTCCTTATTGCTTGCTAAAAGCAATAAGCTGAAAGCTTTATTTCTTGTTAATCTTTTTTTTACATATTAATCTATGTCTGTATACATAAGATTTAGAAATACTGTAGTTGATAGCAGAAATCCGATATGCTCCAAAGTAAATAAAACTTTTTTTTTTACGTTGTATATTAATGGAAAAAAACTGTAATTATAAGTACTTTACTAAAAAGCTTCATTGTAAAGATGAAATGTTTTTGCAGTTATGCAGAGGTTGGTGCAGAGAGAAGGCGAGAGCAGGGTATGGAAGATTCACCACCTGCCATCATCTCAGATAAAGTGAGTCATTTTGGTTCTCTTGCAGATCAGTAGCATCACTAATGATTGAACAGTAAAGTCATATTTTTTTTTGATTGTTTTAACATATTATGATATTGTGATTTTTTTTTTTTTTTTTTTGTTAAACCTGGAGCAGAGATTTTGTTACGTGTGAGGAAGCGTTACATGACCTACAATTCTGTATATACTTATGTGCTTTCAGAACCAAGACTCTGTCTCAGACAGTCGCATGCATAAAGACAGCCTAAAGGATGCTTTGGAAAGGTTCGATGACAGCAGGACACCATCACCATCATCAAAGAGTTCCATCAAGTCATCGTCTCACACAGCTGTGTCTGATCCATCATGTGAGTAGCAGCTCTTTTGAATTGGTCTATTATTGCATTTTTGATGAGCACTAGATCTTTTTATTGGGTGTTAATAAATGTGTCTTTCTTTCTCATACATTGAGGGACACAGGAATTCAGAAACAGGTTATACTGCTGTCTACAGGAGGTTGGAACAATAACAAACCGCAACATTTTAAGCCAGTCCCTGCATAACTCCTTTTCTTCCCAGCATGCCTCAGTATTTTGTTAGTGTCCTGGTTGGGGGAATGCCTTTTCTTCAGCTATGCTGATTTAAAATTCTGTTTCTCATATTCGTACAGGACCACATACAGGATGAGTATTCATAGACCCTAGGTTATAGGCTCATGCCTTCAGGTAATTGAGCACTGGCAAAGCTTTTGAGGACATGTCCCCTAGGAGCCTGGCCTATAACTCTACTGCACTCTGTGAGTCCTTAGGTTCATCATCTTAGGACACTAAAAAAACTCTTTTTCGCTGACAGAATAATCACTCTTCCCTTAACTAGTGTATTATTTTATCTTCAGATTCTTCAGTCAACTCATCACTGTCTTCTAATACTACATTAGAAGCAGTGCAAACTCAGTAAAACCTTGTGAGCTGTACCTGCATGCCACACCATGGGGTGGCCTGTAATGTTGCTTCAGGCAATGGATCCTGCACAGGCGCTCTCCTCAGCACTTTGTGCATCTTGTATAGTCGGCCACAAAATGCTAATGGTCCAGGGCCATGGTCCATCCCTATGGAACCCAGACCTTGAAGAAACCTTTGGGGGTATGACCACTATGGGCAAAGCATGGACCTTTTTAAAGTAAGCAACATCATGGACAGGTAAGACAGGGTCGCATCTGACCATTACTGTAAAAACTGGATCTATGTTTGGAATGTGTTCACTTTACAGTGTAAGCTTTTGAAACTTGCCATTAAAACTCAGCCACTCGGAGCTTATTCTCAATTGGATGACAAGGTGTTACATCACACCACAGGTCGCACACTTTATCACCCAGAGCCCTTAGAAGCTCTGCAGCCAGCTATTGCTGCGATTTCTGTCTGTCAAACTGCAGCTAACTAGATTATGGCAATGAACACAAACCTGTATGCCAGGATGATTACCTAACTGAACAATTACCTCCTGCCCTGCTGTTTTGTGTGGATGTCCTAGAACAAGTAATCGAAAAATGGCTCTAATCTTCATTCACATGCACAGAATCATTTAGCTTAAAGCCTGAACAGCTGCCTATAAAAACATAAACAAAAACAAAAAAAAACCTCATGTATATGTCCTTTGAAGGAGGATGTCTTTTTGGGGAGGCCTTTGACAAATTCATTAAAGTTGTCACAGGATGGAAGATTCTACTGATTCAGAGACCCCACTTCCAAAAAAGCCTCTAGTTATTCAAAACACAGACCGCCTAATCTCTGTACCAAGGCTTCATCTTTAAAACTTAAGTTCACCCCTTCCTTTTTGGCATAAGACTTCAAATCTCTACCCCTTTACTTTTTTGTTTTTCTCTCAAATCAACCAAAATCTATCCAAGGACAGACAATACCCTGAACATCTTTTAATACCAGGAAGTAGTTTTGGCTGTACCAAAATGCTAAACAGTTGGAAACCATTTCTACAACAATGTTCTTGCTGGTGGATCCTACTCTTCACCCCATTTTAGCTGCAACTTTACTTTGCCAGACCATGGCTGACTGCTCAGAATACTTTAAGGTATCTTACCAATGCTACGATTAATGCCTTGCTTATAGAATGCGTGGATAAAAGGGCTGTATTTTTAAACTTCAGTCTTGACAGGCCATCACCACTTCAAAATGAGTGTGTGAACTGGCTTATTTTTCCTGCAATGAAACTCTTTATTAGTTTTGCATAAGGACAAGGTGGTTTTGGTGCCCAGGACATCCTTCTTGCTCCAGGTAGTTCCTGCCTTTGACCTCTACAAGGACATTGTTTTTTCTATCACTCTATCTAATTCCAGTTTACCAAAAAGGAAATCTCCCTCTATTGTTTGGATATGATTTAGGCTGTAAAATTCTACCTCTGAAGACTGATTTCCTTTTTGTAATCCAACACGGACCATTTTAGGTGGCTCAGGCAAAACATCATCCAAGCTCAAAGTCGGAGCGTTTAGTTTCCACCCTTTCCTTTCTATATGCAATCTAATAGATCTGGGAATGCTTCTAGGCAATGTAAGCATCACAATTTTTTTTTTTTTCTAAGTTCCAACAGGTTGATGTTTTGGCCTCATGTGATGCCAACTTTAGGCAGTCCCCAATTTTTTTATAGATTATTTTCTGTGTTGCCCACCACACAGTTTTCCTGCTTTTGGATGATCCGAAGGTAAAAATCTTCTGTGTACCCAATAGGTGAGAATGAAAGTAGGATTTTTGTAGTCCCCATAGAATCCTTTTCACACCTCTCCGTTTATGTTCATGCTGTTAGTACTGATTTTCTTCCACACTGATGCATGCTGATAGTAGTTATCCAGAGCTGGCCTACTGATTTTGTTGGCCAGTGTCCAATGCTCCTGTAGGTGGCAGTATAACGCGAAGGTGAAAGACTTCCCTTATCCCTTAGTGAACTACAAGAAAATAATTTTACAATGAGCACAAACACCCTATTTGCTGCATCTCTGTGAAAAGCAGATGTGGAGATATGTAGCCTTTAAATTGGATCACAATTTCTTTTACATCTATAATTTACAACAGCAATTCCAAAAGAGTTGTGATGCTCTGTAAAATCTACATAAAAACAGAATGCAATAATTTGCAAATCTCATAAACCCATATTTTATTCACAATAGAAAATGGGAAAACATATCAAATGTTTGAACTGAGAAAATGTACCATTTTAAGAAAAAGGTAATTTTGAAATTAATGGCAGTAACACCCTCAAAAAAGTTGGGACAGGGCAACAAAAAGCTGGTAAGTAGTACTAGCAAGGAAAGCTGGAAGAAAATTTCCAATTAATTGGCAACAGGTCAGTATTGTGATTGGGTATAAAAAGAACACCTTAGAGAATCGGAGTGCCTCAGAAGTAAAGATGGACAGAGGTTCACTAACCTGTGAAAATTGTGTCCACAAAAAGTTAAAACAATTTCAGAATGTTCCTCAATGTAAAAATGCAAAGACTTTAAATATATCATCACCTAAAGTACATAATATTGTTAAAAGATTCTGAGAATCTGGAGAAAGGGAAAAGGCCGAAAAGCAATATTGGATTTCCCTGTAATCTTTGGCCCTCAGACAGCACTGCATTAAAACGGGCATGATTCTGTGATGGACATCATTGCATGGGCCCAGGAATACTTCCAAAAATCCCTGTCTGTGAACACAGTTCCGCCATGCCATCTACAAATGCAAGGTAAACCTCTATCATTCACAGAAGAAGCCATATTTGAATATGAGACTGCAGAACATTGCACCCGCAGTTAGTAGATGGCTGGTGCAATCTCAGGCTCCGACAGACTCTCAGGGAAGAACTACTAACAACCAGAGCGCTGACCAGCGCCTTCATAGTTTATTGAGAACTACAAGCTGTAAGTCGCAAAGGCTGACGGTACTTATAGTCGTTCCATTCAGAAGAAACTGAATGAATGATGCAACCATATTGGCGGAGCTGTTTTAAAACTGAGACAGCGGGTGCAGGGAGAGGATTTGCTGGGGGGAAGGCTGCAGATGCTGGAACATGTAACATGTCACAAAGGTGAACTTATCTTTTAAGATGCCTGCCTGCAGTCCAGACCTTTCACCAACTGAAAATTTTGGTGCATCTTGAAACGAAAAATACGAAAAAGAAGACCCAGGACTGTTGAGCAATTCCCAAAACTCCAGCAACTGGTCTCCTCAGTTCCCAGACATTTACAGTGTTGTTAAAGGAAGAGGGGATGCTATACTATGGTAAATTTGGCGCTATTCCAACTTTTTTGAGACATGTTGCTGCCATCAATTTCAAAATGACCTAAATGGTACATATTCTTTAAACATTTTGAATTTTTTTTTTGTGAATAAAATTTGGGTTTATGTGATTTGAAAATCATTGCCTTCTGTTTTATATAGCTTTTACACAGCATCCCAACTTTAGAATTGGGGCTGTATCTTGTTTTCAATAAGTTAAGGATTTCAATGATTTCACATGTGACTTGCATATATTGTCTTTTTTTTTTTTTTTTTTTAAATCACATTTTAGTTCAAGAAGTGGTGCTTTTAAAATGTTTCTGTAATGTACTATTATATATTTATAGCAACGCCTACTAAGATTCCAACTGATACCAGCACTCCTCCACGACAAGCTTTATCTGGGTTGGACAAGAGAAGGTCATCGATTAGCAGTCAGGTAAGCAACCCTAATATGTGTTTTTATGTGCTCCAAAATATGAAATATGTATGCAAATATTCGGAAATGGAAATTCTTTAATTACATTCTAAAATGCTAAGAAAGAAATCAGCACTTAGCTTGATATTTAGCTTTTGATGGGGTCTGCATCTAATCTTTCTTTAGGCCTAAAAATACAGGTACATTCACTGACTCCAAAAAAATTGGAGAAGAAGAAAGTTTAATTCTGAGCTAAAGCTGGCTAGGTACAATCCCCTACTTCCCTTTGAATAAATAAGGGTTTTAGTGTTTAAGTGCTTCAGCTCCGCCCCATAGCATCATGTGATTTTGCATTTGCGGGTAGGGGAACCGCTCCATTCATGCCCACGGCTGTCAATCACCGGGTCCCAGCCAGTGATTACTCTCTGGCGCCCGGTGATTGCCGAGGATCTCTGACGGGAAGGGGTGGGGGATAACTGTTAGTAAACAAAAGAGTTCTCCTCCCTGTCAGCTCCAGCACACTGCTTTGCATGACTGTGCACAGCCATGCAAAGCAGTGTGCTTACAGTGAAGCACAAACACACAACACCGTGTAAAACAGCACGCAGTTAACCCTTTGACCGCCCCAGATGTTAACATCTTCATGCCCAGTGCCGTTAGTACAGTGTCCGTGCTTTTTATTAGCATTGATCACTGTATTGGTGTCACTGAGGATGTCAGTGACACCAAGTCAGTTCCCCCCAGTGTCAGAATGCCTGCCGCAGTCCCACTATACGTTGCTGATCGCTGCCATTACTTGTAAAAATTAAAAAAAAAAAGCCCAATATATATACCGCCATTTGTAAACTTGTAAATTTACAAGTATTGGGATTTTTTTTTTTTAGCAAAGACATGTAGCAGAATACATTTTGGTCTAAATTTATGAGGAAAATTTATATTTTAAATTTTGTTACTGGATATGTTTAATAGCAAAAAGTCAAAAATATATTGTTTTTATTTTTCTCCAAATTTTCGTTTTTTTTTTTTTTTTTTTTTTTTGTAATAGCGCGATCAAATACCACCAAAAAAAAGCTCTATTCATGGGGAAAAAAGGACATAAATTTCATTTTGGTGTAGTAATGCATGAGCGTGCAATTGTCAGTTAAATAACGCAGCGCCATAACACAAAAAATGGACTGGTCAGGAAAGGGGGTAAATCCTCTGGCGGGCAAGTGGTTAATAGGTCCTGAAATCAATATTCTCTGACATAACTCGGACTTCTCTAGAATGTCCAGTTTAGTTGTTGCTGTAGTAGTTTGGTCAGTCACCATTAATGAACTTATAGCATACACCAGGTGAATATTACATATACAGTGATTTTATAGTAACTAATTGCTCTTGGACGATAACTTGTTTCCAATAAGCTTGCCTACAGACAAGTCACAACATCTATGCTTTCTTCTTGTCATGAAGGTTGATAACTATTAACACACTCCCATGGGAGCAGTCTCCAGTCTCCACACACTCCCCTAAGTCAATTTTACTACTCCCCATATGCTGAAAATGGTGACATTATCTTTGTCATCCCTCCCTGGACTTCTTGGGTTCTTCTGATCCTTGCTCCAGTACCTGTGTCAGATCAGCCTCTGAAACTGTGCCCTATCAGGCACCATTCTCGTCTTCAGAAAAATGACCTTCACTTGGGGCTATTAAGGCCTTCAGCGGTACTTGGTATTCACCAGTGTCCCCTCTCTTTAGAAGGACTCTCTGACCTATTAGATCAACTGGGGCCAGCATTGACTGTCCCTTACCCAGATGGGGATCTGAATCCTCATTGTCACCCAAGCATATCTGATTTTTTTTCTCATAGTGTCTTTTACTTGTTGTCCCCATTGTGGTATATCCAGGTGATTTTCCTATAAAGATAGCAAACGCTGTCGATATTAGTGGGCAAGATCCTGCCAGATCTGGCTATGTCAGCTTTTAGCTTTGAAAACTGTCACTTGTTGGAGGTAGCAACCATCATAACCTCTTGCTGGAAAGGTCCACAGTATGCGCACCCTCAGATTTTTTATTATTAGACAGGGAGTTACCCCTCTCTCCTCCCTTGCAGAAAGGTAGGGCCCCTCACTCTTATTCCCCCTCTCCCATCTCTTCTCCTTTAACCATTAGCCGCCCGGCCAATGGCCGTTTGGCGGCTTCAAAAGTGCTTCGGCATTCCGGGTGCACGCCATTTGGCGTTCTCCCGCACATGCGCAGTTTGCGCTAATGCAGAGCCGCGCAGCGGCGTGATCTGTCACCGGCCGTGTACCTCGGACACGGCCGATGACAGATCTGAGTACCGGCCCCCGTTGCTGGTACCATGTGACCTGCTGTGACCAATCACAGCAGGTCACATGACAGTTGTATACAATGGATGGCTTCATTCATGCCATCCATTGTATACTAGTGCCTAGCTGTGAATGGTCACAGCTAATCACATGCACATGTCATGTGATTAGCTGTGACCAAATCACAGCTAAGCATAAAAAAAAAAAAAAAAAAACTGAATGAATCGATTTCATTCAGGTAAATGCTTGCTTATAGCAAAGTAATTCTTTGCTATAAGCAAATTGTGTAAAAAAAAAAAAAAAAAAAAAAAAAAAAAAAATACTGATCACTTCCCCAAAGTAGTACAAATGTTACTATGGTAACATTGTACTACTTTGGTCATAGTAAAATATGAAAAAAAAATCTTAAAAAAAAAAAAAAAAAAATGTAATAAATTAAAAATAATAATAAAAAAAAAAATTTTTTAAAAAAATATATATATATATTTTTTTTTCATACTGTCACCAGTCAGTGTCCCTGTTCACCGCCATGCCAGTTATATGATGACGCTGTACTGCACTGGTGACAGTATGTAAAAAAAAAATAGTGAAAATAATTTTTTTAATTTTTTTAATTTTCCGAAAAATTATGACAAAAAAAAACTCGCCATGCCTCTTATGAAGTACGTCGGACTGTCTACTCTGCAAAAAGGGGTCATTTGGAGATATCTGTACTATTCTGACATTCTTGGACCTCAAGAAATTAGATTGCCTGTCAGTACTTCAGGATTGATCAATATTCAGATCTATACCATAGTTTGTGAACTCTATAACTTTCCTACAAACTAAAAAATACATCCTAATTTGGGTTATTTTCACCAAAGACATGTAGCAGAATGCATCTCGGCCTAAATTTATGAAGAACAATTATTTATTTGTAAACTTTTATAACAGAAACAAAGAAAAACTTGTTTTTTTTTTTTTTCAAAATTTTTGTTTTTTTTGTTAATTTTGCAAAAAATAAAACCCCAGCGGTGACTAAATACCACCATAAGAAAGCTCTAGTTGTGTGAAGAAAATGATAAAATTTTAGTTTGGGTACAATGTTGTATGGCCGCGCAATTGTCATTCAAAGTGTGACAGCGCTGAAATGTGAAAAATGGCCTGGGCAGGAAGGTGTAAAATTGCCCGGTATTGAAATGGTTAATTTCATCACATTTCTCTATGGTTTTGGCTGTAGTCCATAGATGCAGGCAAATTAGGCTGCTAAAAAAAACTAGATAGTCTGTGGTGTGATTATTCTCCATCAGGCGTCTGGTAAGGAGTTTTCTCCCATCTGGAGGGCTTCTCTCATTGAAGAATGATTTTTTTCACATTGGTCCTTTTTACACTGTGGGATCCTGCTTTGGGCAGATCTACTGGTTTGGACTCTGTTGGACACTATTTAGGTACTGATGTATTTTTCCCCTGAAAAAGAATGAGTCCTTCCTGTGTAAGGAAGGGGTAGTCTGGCTCCTGCTCTGGACGATAACAGGATTCTTGATGTCACTCGTACTGATCCTTTTAAGAGAAATAACCCCTAAACCAGTTTTTCTCTACTGGAAATCAATGGTCATGGAAGAGAGACTTAACACATTTAGCTGTGCCTCTGACCCTGGTTGCAGTTAAACGTCGTTGGGGGAGGGTCCCGCATCCTTCTGGACTTTCAGAATATTTTAGTCTCCTGCCGAAGGTATTCTCTAACAGTAACAGGAAATGACTTAACAGCTTGGGAGAACCTGTCCACCTGAAATTAGGTCCTCCTAATTTGCAGCCTCTTGAAGATTTTTCAGGAGCTTTTCCTTGTTTTGTATTATAGTTGCGCCAATTTTCCTCACTGTATTGCTAAGAATCCAGTTCCTTGTTCAATGGATGTTGATACTTTGCTGGATCTAGGGGATCAGGAGCATTCCTAGTTCTATAGCTTTAAGTCAGGGATAGGCAGGATTGTTCTTCAGATGGATCCCTCTGGAGTTACGCTAGAGCAGGGGTGGGCAACTGTGGCCCTCCAGCTGTTGTAGAAGTCCCATGAGGCATTGCAAAACTGACAGTTACAAGCGTGACTCCCAAAGGCAGAGGCATGATGGGACTTGTAGTTCACCAACAGCTGGAGGGCCACAGTTGCCCACCCCTACCCTAGAGGCATCTCTTACTGACCAGAGCAGGCTGTATTGGATTCATCCTTGGTTTTTTTTTGGTTGTTTCCATGTCTCCAGTCTGGGGCTAAGGGCTGACTTCCATCTCCTTCCCATGCACCCTACCCCTATACGGTATATCATATTGAATTCCTGAATTCTAATGTAGATTCCCTTCACAGGCTGCTATGTTCTAGCCAATTCTCATTTTTTCCCCTATGAGCCTCATTTAGCAAGGTAAGCTGACTGGTCAGACAGTCAATTTAGCCACAGAGTTTTTGTTTCTAAACCAAGGGGAGGACAGAGGCAAAAGGCTTAGAACTGATTGTGGGTCTTTACTTCCCTACATGAGAATTTGTTGTTGTTTTATCACTTTTGGTGGCATCTGCGGGATCTGCTTCTCACTGCTTCAGGTCCGGTGTTCACTACTGTGTGAAATTATTCCCCTCTGGTGGTGACCTTTTACTTTTTTGGTCTAAAGCATCAGGTTGTTTCTCCATATTCTCCCTGTATTCTTGTTAGCTGGTAGGGGGCCCAGCCTCATCTGATTTCAGCTTTG